AAAAAAAGAACACAGGAAACATGAATAGAACGAATAGTCACTTTTTTATGTAACAATTTTCTATATAAATAATTAAAAGTTTTATGTAAATCAACATAGATAAAAAAGGCAACATCATAGACAAGACAAGATCATATTTTATGCTCGATATTTCACACCCTTACCCTTAAAACAACAGATATACCAGTTAATGATAACATTGATTATCGTTTGACGTAAACATATTTTGATAATTTGTATTTTATTTATAACACAAATACTGAAATCGTTCCAAAACCAGTTACCACTTAACCAGGAAAATGGAGCATCCTATTCACGTTTATGTAATTCCTGGTGAAAAACCTTAAATAGTTCCCGGACCGCTGCGTCGGCCCTCAAAATCTCATTAACTGGAGGGCCGAAATTACAAGACGACACTGATCCGCGCCATTATGAAATTTATAACAAAGGATAAATTTCTAATAACCATCGCCAAAACAGGATACAATTGGGGCGATTCATCAACATTTTAATTAATACATAATTAACAACCGCAACAAAGCGTTTGTCTCCAGCGCGCCGACACCAGAGCGCCCCGCCACTCGTTAATTGCGTTCCTGGAGACTTGGGACGTGGAATCCGAACATCACCGCCGATAACCGCCCACCACGTACAGCCGGGGCTGAGTAATTAGGGCATTGTGATTATGAAATTCATATGGCACGTACGACACGACGTCACTATCTCTGATAAACCCAGAAATACTCAACAAAATCATCAATATCATCATCATTATAATTCTCACCATCATTGTCGTATAACACATGAACAACTTTGAGATGGGAACCGATGGATAAGAATGAAAGAAGAAATGGGATATTTTACGTCAAACCGATCACCATAAAAATCGATTTGACCGATTTAGACGTCTAAGGTCTTAAAATGTTCGTCTCTTAAGAGGCTTTCAAAATAAAAGTGGCGTTTTGGGAAATTCAATATGGTGGATCAAATATGGCGTCTTCAGTCCTCATGATAAAATTTAGGAGAAAACGTCGATAAAATTTGCAAAAATGGAGAAATATATCCCCAATATACTTGTATTAGACTGTGCTTGGGTCCGCTGATTACGAATCTATCATCGGGAATACGAAATTCAACATGGCGGATCCAATATGGCGGACATAAAACTATATAACAGTACCATAACGATCATTTTAAAATTTAGAGTCCGGGGGCTTTTGGGTTATCTGCTAACAAAATTGACATTGGAATTTTGAAATTCAAAATGGCGGAACCAATATGGCGGAAGAGGAACCGCAAATATCCTTCTTTGCGGCAAAAAATGATTACATGTCACATAAAGTAATGTCTGGAGTTTTTAGTGCCAGTACAAATTTACTATTGAATTACTATTACTATTAAAATTCAAAATGGCGAAAATCCGCGAATCTTCTCCTTGTAGGCAAAAAATCATTACAGATCATTTACGTCACTGAAAGGAAATGGTCTGGAGGTTCTTAGGAAGTCTGATGTTCCTCAACTATTTGTAATTGTACTTTATGCGAGATATAATCGTTTTTTGTCTCAAGATGGACAGTTGGGGTTCCTCTTCCGCCATATTCGTTCCGTCATGTTGAATTTCAAAACTGCAGTGGCAATTTGTTATCAGAGAACCCAAAAGCCGCCGGACTCTAAACTTTAAGTGACCTGAATTCGTTATGGTACTGTTATATGAGTTTTATGTCCGCCATATTGGATCCGCCATTTTGAATTTCGTATTTCCGATGATCGATTCGTAATCAGCGGACTCAAACACAGTCTAATATATGCATTGGGATATATTCTCCCATTTTGGAAAATTTTATACTAAATTCCTAAATTTACCATGAAGAATGAATTTCGTGGGCGCCATATTTGATCCGCCATACTGAATTTCTCAAAACGTTACTTTTCTTTTGAAAGCCTCTTAACAGACGAACATTTTAAGACATACAAATCGGTTAAATAAATTTTTCTGTGATTGATTTGACGTGAAATGTCCCGAATATGATTAAAAGATAAACATATAGAGGTATATTTGAAAACTGTAATAATTTAGATATTTGAACAAAATCATCAGCATCATCTTTATAATTATCGTCATCATCATCAACGTCACCGTCATCTTTCATTATCACAATTGTAGTCATCACAATGTAGAGAAAATTGGATGGGAACGGGAGAAAAAAGAAAAGAAATAATTAACAATAGGATATACTTAAACAAAGCAAAGTTTGAAAATTTAGATTCTGAAATTGGATAAAGTTTAAGAATAATGAAGGCACTACGATTACGAAATTCATATGACACAGTTCTTACATCTGATCATAATATACAGGGTGTTTCTAAAATAAGTACGTTCATTGAAAAGGATGATAAAGGGCATGAAAATAAGCAACTTTTATTACGCAACTGATGGTCTAAATGCTTCCGTTTCCGAGAAAATTAATAAGAAAATTAACCATAAAAGTAAGCCAACTCTGTGCATCTTGTGCACCTGCGTTGTTAAGCAAACTGAGAAATCTTGCACCAAACATTTGATAAAAGAAACTGATCTAGCAATTTCTCTTCGCCAAAATTGTTATATTGACTAAACAAATCTTTGTGGAAAGAATATTGTCTAGTCTATATAGTCTAGAATATAGAATGTATTTCAGTCTTTATACTCCCGATTATTTTACACTTTTGATTAACTTTAATGTTAAATTTGTTTTGTGCAAAATTAAAATAAAAGTCCTACACATTCTAAAGCGTGGATCTTCGTTAACCCTTCTCTTAATGTCAGAGTTAAAAATAAAGAAATGAAAATAACCCAATTTGTTAAAATTTCCCCCCACATATTTTTTGCATCCAATTAAGCACTCCAGGAAGTTAGTACAAAAGCTCGAGTGCCATTATTATATAAAAATAAACATTACCCGGGGGGGATAAAAGATCCTCTTGGAAAAAGTTAATTGTGGTAGTAAATGCCTTATAGAAAAGTTAATTACTAAATTAACTTTTTTGCTCGTTATTGGCTGGATATTTTAATAATTGAGGAACGAAGAACCCTTAAACAAAGGGAGAAGGAGTCTTTGAAGTTAAAAGTGCATTAAAGAATTTTCCATTATAAAATTTCTCAATCAAGTTAATTAGTAATCTGTTAATTAATTAAATCCATCATCGGTAGTAATCCAGAAGCAGGCACTTCAAAGTATTGTAGAACAATTTCCTATATATCGTTAATTAGACGGCGTTTGTAATTAGTGGAGCCAGCGCCTGCCATCGATTTCTGCAAATATTCCGCTTCATAAAACGCCCGGCCACAGGGGCGGGGGCGGGAGGGGGTCAGGGGGTCGCTCGCCCGGAACATTGTTGGCTCAAGACAGGGACGGCATTTACTGAAACGATACATTCATACACTTTTCAAAATCACTCTCAGTAGTGATCATCGATATACAGGATGATAATTAATTGATAATATGAATTAATAATAAGCATTTTCAATTATTAAAACAGCAAAAACAAAACAACACCGAAAAAAAATAATAATAAAAAAAATGCACCAAACTTATTGAGAACTTCTGGAATCGTCCCCGACTTACATACTACATAAAAAATCGGCAATCAGCGCTACTTTAATTTTCATTAGGGAAACGTCTGTCTTTTACTGTAAAAATTATGATTGAGTTTAAATGAAGTCATTTACTTCTCTAGATTTTCAACGTGTTTTCTCTATGTGCCTACCCTAAGGTGTGTGTATAAATAAGTACGAATACACATACCAAACTGGTATCTCAACATCCTTACCATGTATTAACGGACACTCTGATGAGATCTGAGAGTTAGTTGTACATCTTTATGTACGCATAGGTATACACCAACATTGTAAACAGTTGCAGAGCTATCGGTTCCAAAAGTCAGCGGTTCCAAAAAAGCTTTCAGCGGATCATCGTAGTAAGTCAATAGGTATTTAAAAAATTCATATTTTACTTGGATAAAATATTTCTGCCAATCAAATTTGGCCCCTTGACTTATTTATTAAATATAAGCATTGAAGATGCCACAAAAAAAAATTCTGTGCATCAGACTAAACCACTATATCCTTATGTTTTCGAGGTCGCTAAGTCCGAATCCGAAGTCCGTTTGACTTTGTCAGATAAGGTTAAAGGTCATTTCAAATTCTTTGGTGGAGACAACCATGGTTATTATATGTTCCTGGGGTCGCTGAATCCGAATCTGAGATCCGCTTGACCTTGGGGTTAAAGGTTATTTCAAAGTCAAACCGAGAAGCGAATTATTCTACAGATCTCCTTTCGGAGCAGTTGTTGGTAGCAGGATTGTAAAGGCTCTATTAGAACCATCATAGAAATGAGGCTTTTACTTAGATGATAGATGATTTCAATGATGATTAAAATTTGATGATTTTAATGGAGTTAGGCTTGCCTAAAGATATTTTATGTCCATTAATGCAGAGATAGTCGGGCAGTCTACATGCAAAAATTTTATTACGTACGAGTTTTAAAAAATATATCATTAACCGAATGTGAAAACTCATCCTTCACCATAGAATACGCACTCAACTGTCTACCAAAATTCTCCCTCAACTACAAGCAAGGCAACTATCCAGAACCTTTCTTACCGCGAAGGATGAAAATGTTAGTAACCCATAATGCTGTATAAAATTATAGTGTCGGATTTTCAAATGTGATTGAAAAAGATCATGCTAATGTGAAGATTTGTGAATGTTGAGAGTCTTTTGGTTCATTATAGATGAACGAGGCAAAAATTGCTTTGTTAAGACAACCCAACTAATAGGTATTACTCGTAGAATTAAGTAGGTTTCAAATAACATTGACCCTGATGCAACAAGATCAAACGGACATCGGATTCGGGCAAAGCGACTCCAAAAACATAATAACCATGGTTAACCAAAGAATAAACATATTTTTAATAAATTTGTCCGTTTCTACATTTGCTCTGATAAGGAAATTTTTACTCACCTTAACTAATTACTGGTTTTGTGTTAACCATCCGGATCTGGAACAAAAAATAATAAGTTAGAAGTACAAGCTTATACTTCTTCCAGAATATTAGTTCAGGATTCAGGGTAGACCCAATACTTCATAGTTTTTAGTTCATTAAGTAGTTTTCATTTTGAGATGGAATCATTCATAATAATCTACAAACAAATTCGATAAACATCATCGAATACTTCATCAACTGAATAAGAAAAATACGTCTTAAAATGGAAGTAAATATAAAATTTTTAGTTTCGAACCAAAATTACCAACAAATTGTTATTGCTGTTGTTCTTATTCATTCATTCATTCTGTTCTTATATTCTTAAATAGTGGTTGTAATACCGACATGAAACGGTGGTAAATCTGATCACAAATCAGTTAAAAAAATGGGTGTATCAATAAGTGGTCAATATTAAACACAAATATTTCCTGAAGGTGTCCAGTTTTCTACAAGGAACAAGAAATAGTTGCAGTGCCATCGTATCAGCTTGTCAGACCGTTAGCTGATAATTGCCCAAAAATCGTTAAACCAATTGTACAAGCAAGTTGTCGGTTAATTCGCAGAGTAATTTACAGATTCCATTTTATCTCTGATGAAATTGGAAATGGTATAGTTTAATTAGCTTTAATAAAACTTAAATACACGCCAGATAGTTCCGCGGTTAATTAAGTTGTAGCTATGTGAATGATGCCGCCTATTTGGCTTTATTGATTTTTGGAATACTCTTAACAGCGGCTTCTAGGATTCCTCTCAGTAGTGCAACTTCCGCAATGGATGCAGTTACCTTTACAGTCGAGTCTTCACAGACTTTTGTGTGAATCCTCTTATGACATTTATTACAAAGTATAGAAAATGATTTATAATTGCGGAGGCAGCATGTGAAATTTGTCGAAGGCAAAAAGAAAGTCCAAAGAAAAATTGGATGTAGTTGATGAAAAAGTAATATCAATAAAGGGTAAATGAAGATGCTAGAGCAATATTTCAAAGTGAATACAAATTATGAGAAAGTAAAGAAAAAATCCAATTCAAAATCTTAAGAAGTGGTCGAAATCTAAGAGGACTGAGGAGAATCAATCCCAATCACTTTGAGGTTGTAGAAGTAAAAAAATAACCAATGAGTCAAAGTGTTGACAATTTTTATGAAAATTACACTTAGTCCTTTCGGCCACTACTAATACTACCTCCTTACCCACATAGGCTGGTTTCTGAACAAATCCTTGAGGACAACTTTTATTCCTAAATTACACTAGTTTAAAAGCAGTAACTTAGATTTGTAAAATTTTTAGAAGTAAAAGAGGAAAGTAAAATCAGAGAAACAGAAAATTTGATGTTAATGAAAGAGATCTATGAAAAGTGATACAACCAAAGAAGAATGAAAGGAATGATGGAATTGATAAATGGAAGAAGACATGGGGAACTGGCTCCCTATAGTGACAAGAAGTAAATATTTAGTTAAATTGAACACCCTATTTCAAATGACTAGTCTTTCTTAATGGTTACTGTTATAATTGAGTCTTGAATGTGTGAATCCATTTTGTTTCGAGGGATGAGATCCCCACAGTTTGTCTGCTTTGCATCCTGTGGACCAGAGATTAAAAATTTCATAGTTCCTGCTAAACCATCCAAATGTCAAATGATCACAACCAGATTATACTAATTATAATAAAAATCTGCAGTTATTTTTGTGATGTATGTTAACTATGCCAAAAAATCAATATTTTGTCGATGCTTTAAAAAATAAATAGCTCTGTTAAAATTATATAGGATGATTTCTAAGTTGAGTAATATATTTTTTTAACAACGCGTAGAACTAATTAAAAAATATATATTTAAAATTATGTTTTTTAAATAACGCCATTTTCTGTACAAATGGTACCTAATGAATGTTTTTTTTGTGAATATTTTTGTTTCCTTAATCCTTATCTTCTAGTTGTATAATAATTTTATAGTGGATTTTGACCATGATTTTAATTGAAAATTTCGTTTTAATAGCCCATGTTCTTGACAATAGTGAACTATTTGACTATTAATTTATGGAGAGCGTTATCAAAGTACTAAGTGCATACTGCAATAATTTGTTCACTTTGTGTAGAGGATTTTTGGAAACGTCAAGGACATTCGGAAAGACCTAGAGTATCGGAAAACGTACAACAGGAGAAATAAATTTCAACCTTGTTGAAGAAGATCCAACAGCAATCGCTCGAGAAATTTCACACCAAGTCAAACTGAGCCATTGAACAACAATGCGAGAAAATAAGTTGTACCCATTTCATGTGCAACGAGTTCAACTCTTCTTGCCACAAGTCCATCCCCAACAGAGTTCAGTTTTGACAATGGCTCTTATAACAACATGGGATGAATCAAAATTTTACCAGAAACAGTTTCATTGTAGACAAGGCTACATTTACCTGTAGTGGACTTAAGAATTCTCGCAATACTCGTGTTTGGTCACTTGAAAATCCTTGTGCTTATAATGACACTATTGTTGGGCCTTTGATATTTCCAGATCATTTAACGGGCGAAAGCTGCCTGAAATAATAATAATAATAATAATAATAATAATTTATTAATTCAGAAGACCATACAAATGGCATAGAATAAGTCAGGAAAATACATTATACATAAAAAAAATACAAAACATATAAATATACAATACATAACATATTAAAACCAATTACATTCTAATAACCTAGGTATTCATTTATACTATAAAAACAGTATTGAATGAGGTAATTCTTAACATTTCTTTTAAAAGAGTTAAAATTTGTTGTTAGTTTGATCTGAAGTGGTAGATTATTATACAGTTGTATGCCCATATAAAGTGGATTTTTTTTAGTTAATGATAACTTATGAATTGGAAAACAAAGAATATTTGCTCCCCTCGTGTTATATGTATGAAATGAATTAACCGTGACAAATTTATCTGTATTTTTACGGACCAGTAAGAGTATCCTGAATATATAAATACAAGGCACTGTAAGAAGCTTAAGCTTCTTAAAATATTGTCTACATGAAGTTAAACCAGATAGACCCATAATTAATCTAATAGCTCTTTTTTGAAATTTAAAAACCCTGAAACTTAATTGTGAAGAACCCCAAAATTCAATGCAATATTGAATTCTGGAGTATATCTGTGCATAATAATACAACAATAAAATTTCTTTACTACATATACATTTTAATCTACCCAAGCAGAAGCACTTAGACGATAATTTTATACAAATACTGTTAACATGTGTCTCCCAAGCAAGATTATTATCCAGGTGAATCCCCAGAAACTTTACATTTGCTACCTGCTTAACTGATATTCCATTTACTTTGACAAGATATGACTGACTTATTTCTTTAGTCTTAGGTGTAAAATTAATAAAAACAGTTTTACTCATATTTAAAAATAACTTGTTATCCAAGAACCATTTACAAAATACATTTAACTTACTTTGAATTTCATTAATGACCTGTGTTATATCATTTCTAGCACATAAATAACTGTTATCATCAGCATACATAACCAACTCACGATCACCCACAGTTAACGGTAAATCATTAACAAAAAGAATGAACAATAAAGGTCCTAAGACAGAGCCTTGAGGAACACCGCAATTAATTATTAATTTATCCGATTTGACGTTGTCTATTTCAACAAACTGAAACCTGTTATCAAGATAACTTTTAATTAAATCACTAACTAGTCCTCTTAAACCGTAAGCATTCAATTTTATTAATAAGAGTTGATGATCAACTAAATCAAAGGCCTTACTTAAGTCCATGAAAAGACCAACAGTTTTTTTTCCATTATCCATATTATTATACAAATGTTCTAAGAAGTTTTGTATGGCTGTCTCTGTACTTTTGGAACTTCGAAATCCATGCTGAGCGTCATGTAATATATTATATTTTGACAAAAAAGATACAATTCTGTTGGAAATAACCTTTTCCAATATTTTAGAAAGTGTAGATAACAAAGAAACAGGTCTATAGTTCTCGATATTTTTAGGATCATTCTTTTTATGAAGAGGTTTAATTTTAGAAGTTTTTAATACCTCCGGGAACACGCCTTGAGACAATGACAGATTTATTAGGTATGTCAATGGCTGCAATATATAATCAATGCAACATTTTAAAATATTAGAACTAATGCCATCTTCGCCAGCAGAACTTGATTTTTTTATATTTTTTGTTCTCTGTTCAAAATCATCTTCCAGATCTTGTGTAGCCAGCCAAGTCACCAAACCTTAATCCTCATATTTTTTTTTATGGAGTTGGAGAAAAAACTTAATTTTACAATATTTTTTACTTGTCTGCTATTGTCAGTGTTAGTAGTTTAGTACAGATAACCCCGATCGTTTTAGCACAAAAATTTGGTGTTGGATTGAGCCAGTCGAGTGATTGGTCACCAATGCTCCACCAACTGCTTAGACCGATTCAAATAGACGACAAAATTTGACCGACCCTCTAACCCAGAAACTGGAATGTACTTTTCCGAAGGATTTTGGTGCGCTAAATTCGAATCCGAGATCCAAATTTCTCAATTGGCTCTGGTTTTCGAGATATCCTAACCTAGAAGTGCAAAAATCACGATTTTTTTTTGCATATTTTAGGTTATGCTACATGGACAGGTAAATTTCCTTTGCTAAAATCATTAATGGGGTTTTAAAGTACTATACTTACTCTATAAAATGGACTAGGATTTATCCCGATATAATTTTTCATCTTTGAGAAATCGCATGTTGAAATTAAGACTTATTTTTCGATTTTTCGATTTTTGAATATACTAACAACACAGCACCACAGCATCCGGAAGTTCATCTTAAATGTTTTTGGGGTCGCTGAACATGAATCTGAAGTCGGGAATACTTTATAACGTCAAATTTTGCAATAAACTTAAAATATCTAAAAATTCGTTATATGGCCTATATTTTACGCATATCAATCTGGCAATACATTTACATGCAAAAAAAGCCCATAAATCTTTAACACATAAATTTCAAGCCCATAAACTCAAAAAATCGAAA